TATATATATATATATATATATATATATATATTCAAGTAGGTTCAAGTAGTCGAGCGTGCATATTGAGAAAAAGAAGCTCAAGGACAGCACCCAGGCCCAGAGTTCAAGCCCCAGGCCCAGGGGGAAAAAAAAACCTCAGAATTAATGGTCTTTGATCTGCTTTTTACTGTACCTCTCAGATGATTTACAGGTACCTCTCAAATATTCATTGCAACCATTCTCTCCAACCTGACACCTCTACTGTTTCACACTCACACAAGTGACAGGGTTAGGGCTGGGAATATGACTTAGTGGTAGAATGCTTGCCTAGTATGCATGAAGCCCTGGATTTGATTCCTCAGTATCATGTAAAAAGACAAAATGGGAAGTGGCACTGTGGCTCAAGTGGTAGAGTGCTAGCCTTGAGGCAAAGAAGCTAAGGGACAGGGCCCAGGTCCTGAGTTCAAGCCCCAGGACTGGCAACACACACACACGCACGCAACGCAGGCAGGCAGGCAGGCAGGCAGGCAGGCAGGCAGGCAGGCAGGCAGGCAGGCAGGCAGGCAGGCAGGCAGGCAGGCACGCCAGGGTTAATGTCCTTTGGGTATCTTAATATGAAAATGTCCAAAACTAAACGCAATACCTCTAACTCTTCTATTAGTCTTAACACTTCTTTCTAAAAAACAAAATTAAAACAAACTACAAAACTTGGACTGTAGCTCAATGCATAGAATGTTTACTATGTTAAAAGATTTGCTCTTAATCATTCAAACAATTCTTAGTGGCACTCATGCTCATCCCATTCTTTCTATTCACATTGCCTTAATTCAGGCACTGCAACAGCTTCTTGTAGTTGGTGGTGGTCGTAGGCCTTGAACTCTGGACCTGGGCGCTGTCCCTCAGCTCTTCAGCTCCGGGTGCTCTACCACTTGAGCCACAGCACCACTGCCGGTTTTCTGGTGGTTTACTGGAGATAAGAGTCTCATTGACTCTTGGGCTGGCTTTGATCCATGATCCTCAGATCTCAGCCTCCAGAGTAGATAGGATTACAGGCGTGAGCCACCAGGGTCCGGCTACAGCAACAGTTTTAGTCTAGCTTCCTCAATTAATTCTCCAAACTGTTATCAGTTCCACATATCTGGAATGCAATCCGATCTGCTTAAAATCTTCAGGATTAAATTCAAACTCTTTGCTGACATAGACTGATCTTTCGGGTGCTGATTCTTGCCTTGTAATCCATCTTTAATCTCCTATCTCTGTCTGCAAAGTATTCTATCTTCCAGTCATAATGAACTATTTATACTTCCTTGAATACCCATTCTCTATCTCAATTATCTCTGCTTTCCTAACCTATTCCCTCTCAGTACCATTCAGACATAACTTCCTATAAAAAGATATCAGCCAATATTAGGTAATTAAATGTTAAATAAATTAAACTGACAGCAGTTTTCCCAGTATGAAACCACAAAATCTTACTCATGCTTCATGCTTATACAAAATAGCCAGTTCAAGCAAAGATCTTGTGACTATCGTACACAATAGTCAATTCAAGCAAATATCTTTTCAGTATTTTATATTCATGTTTGGTAGCAAGAGATAATTCACTTCAATTTCATAAAAACATGTCACCCCTGGGATTTGAAATTTCCAAAGATAAGCTAATATCTGACTAGCCTCTCCATTTTGATGAACTTTTCCCAACTCTTAAACCTCTATAGTAACAGGTATCTATACTACTTAATAGACTTATGCTTGC